TACATCTATACTCAAGTTCAACCTTTAATAGGTGAAGCGGTACAATCCAAGTATATCTAAACACCGTCCATAACCTTGTGGATGTCCACAAAAAGCTCTAAGGACCTTTGTGACTATCACGTAAGCAATATGCAACAAACTTGCCTAACTTTTGAAAAAACAGAGCACTACTCAAGGCAAGCTGAATGAACAGCCAAAACATCTATTTTAAAATATAAAATATTAACTCCAAATTCTTGTTTTAGTTTGTTGAAATAAATTTTCTCAAGATGGCGCTTGTCATCCTCAGTGGTAGCGATGCTGTCAGCCCCAATTTTTTTTCAGAAATGTTATTCTAAAAACACACGACTTCTTCAAATGGAAATATGTATTTTAAGGCTTTACAGTGAACCCTAGGGCCAGTAGAACCCTTTGGAGTATAGGCTCTGATTTGTTTTCTGCATAAAATAATGCCATAGGGTTCGGGTGGTACCAGGTCACTCGGGGTTCACCGAAACTTGATTTTGCAGCCATAAAACGTAGTAATTTTCGACCTAAGAAGCCATGTAACTTGTATCAGAAGCCATGTAAGCTGTATCAAAAGCTTCAAGTTGTTCAACACTTCCCTCTTGCGCTTCACGACCAGGTCGATACCTCTGGGAACCAGGTTTCTTTCCTGTTTTCTTGGGGATCAATGAGCTAACAAGGTCGGAAAGTTTTGGCTCCCATGAAGAGATTACTTCATGAAGCATCCCCTTCTAGGGACAGACCGCAATGGCATGGGCACACAGAGTTTCCTTTTTAAATCTCTCACAGTCATAAATCACTTTTGAACCAAAAGTGTTGACGATGTGAAGCTTGCGGGGGTTGGTTATTGAAGGTACAATCACTGTGGCATCATTGATACTAATAACTACATTTTTCCTGATTACGTCCTTTGCTTTGTCCCAGGATCCTCGCAGATGCTCATGGAGGCCACTTTGATCTGATTGACTGGTACTGTAGTTGACGTGGCACTTGGACTCTGGAGTAAGGAATTGGATCCCACCGGATCATTAACACTGATTTTTGCAGCCCGCTGTTTTAGGCAAGCATCCTCTATTACTTCAAGATATCGATACTGTAATCGAATAGAATTAAAGCAAGCTTTGAAAGTTCAACATCAGTAACAAAAAGAACAAAGTTGGCAAACCTTTTGGACGCATGAACCCTGAAATCAGCAGTGAAATGCCAGAGATGGTTTTCTAGTTTGATCAATATTTGTGTGCCACCAGTTCCAAGTTAGAGCATTCGATCGACTCTCTTCTTTTCATAACCTCAAGGACTTCAAACCTACAATTTCGACACCCAAGTTTAAAACATACCAAGAAATATTCATTAAAAAGAGATTTCAAATTGCTACGAAGTAGATTTTATGAGCTACTTAGGACCAAGTTTGAAAACCCGGTGGTTTTTATCGCGCATCCGTGTTGCCGCCGCATGGTCATGCGAAACGAGCTTTGAACTGAGTAGAGGGAGTTCCTTTAGAAATACTAACTTACCCTGACGTTTATCAGTTAAAAACTACTGGTAGATTGTAATCACCATTGAAAGAAACTTCTGCAGACATGATCAAAACGCTCTATGAGTCAGTGCATTTCTTCACTGACTCATGCGTGCGATGTGCGATATGTTGTCTCAAGCGTCACGCAATCACGCACGTCAACTACAATATACGATCCGCGGTTCTTTGCTCTCATTACCATTATTACTATCACTTGTAATATTTTTTTATTACCATTAATTTTCTACCTCATATATCAGCTTTAGAACGCAGACTCATCAGTGGTTTTCGATTGTCAGGAGCTGAGAGGAGCAAAAACCAGGAACATATCGAAACACATCTGAGTTCGTAGGCTAACCATCGATGGAAAGAGTCAAGAAAGCTCGAGTTGATCATATCAACAACAACAACAACAAAGATAAGTTAAGCATGCAAATACTTCCATAATGAAGAAAAGAGGAACATTTAACGTAACAACTACCATTCAGTTCCGGCCGGCTTCGGTAGAGGCAAATGTTTACCTTACACTTCTTTCATGTAACTCGTTGTTGAACATTTTCGAGAAACTAACCATTCCGATAAAGTAAAAAAACAATACGAGCAGTAGAACCTACCCTTTTTTTGGAAGATGAAAAAATTTCTCTCCACCCTCCCCACCCTCCATCCTCTTATCTCCAAGCACCCTGCGATTTACTTGGTCAGTGCCAAACCGAGTTTACGACCCAGTCTCCCAAAAAATATCGACAAATTATTTTCTTATGTGAGAAATGTTTCCTGTTCAGACGAAATTAATAATCTCAACTAGTAAATATTCAGGAATGGACAAAAGGAACAGCGTTTTTCGGGCAGACGAAAATACGACCATAGGTGTAAAAATTATTCACCTACAACGTATTTTCCAAATAGCAAACTAGCACAGACGAGACCTGATAATTTTCTGCGAAAGCAAACAACAATCAAGGCTAAACTATTAGAAACATAAAGGGGGATAAATTTTGGTGCGGCGACAGCTATAAGGAAGAGGAAGGGAAGATACATCATGATACGAAACGTTTCCATGACGAAGTCAACGTGAGGGAGCACCATGTGGGAGTGAAATTTTTAAGGAGGACTATAATGTCACTGAAACACATAGATCTAATCTCTACGTAGGAAAATAGACTCTTCTGCTATATACTTTCCGGCACTAAGTAACTCGCGCAAAAGAAAATGGTAACGGGGAAATGGAACATTAGGTAGAACCAACAACAGCTCAGAGGAATCTTAAGAAAGCTTCCCTCGCGAAAAGAGACATCTCTCACAGACATATCAGTTGAGGCTAAGTTAATGATTTTTGTACAACTTGGTACGG